AGGCTGCAGCCGAAGCCTCGCAGCCCCTGGCAGGCCGGTGGGCACTGGCGTGCTCTGCAAGGTGTGGATAAGCCCCTTCCCTCTGGACACCGGTTCTTCTTTATCTTAGGCAGGACGTAACCTATCAAGTTAAAACGTGTTTTCTTCTACCGTGTCTGTCAGTGAATGGGGACCTCAGTTTACCTCCAACTCCTAGTCTTCATCTGCAGTGTCCAAATTCTTATGTAAAAGAAAAATAAATATCACCTTCTGGCGTCTCCCTGTACTTTGCTACAAGACGGAGCACATCAGTTACGACACAAGCGGTTTCAGCTTTCTTCACACGTCGCGTAGTAATTGCTTCCTTGTATTGGCCTCTTTAAAAGGCTCCCATAAAAGCCACAGCTTCTTTCCAGGAAAATACAGCAGCAAGATAATGTGAGTGAAAAGGGACAGATTTCTACTCCATTAGACACAGTTATACTCATTTTTAAATGAGAAAGTTTTAATACTGGCTTTAGAATTAAACGTTCTTGTAGTTTTCCAGACCAGATGTCAAAACTGTTACTACTGCTGTTACAAAGGGACAGCTGGAACCACTCTGAAGTGACAAGAAAGGACTTCTTCAGGAGGCCTGGCAATCAGACAGGAGGAGTGGCAAGTGTAGCAGTCGAGTTCTGAGGCACGCATGTGCCTGAACCACTCTGAGTGAGGGTCCTATAAATAACGGCAAATTGGAGATTCACGAGAGCTGCTTTGGAGAGGGTGACTGTTCAGAGCAGCGATTTCCCAGTTTGCCACCCCCCTCCGAGGGACGCGACGCGTGCCGCCAAAGGAATGCATGGCAGAGAGGCACCTGCGCGGCTGGAGCCCCTTCAGCCGTGCCGTGCCGCGTGCGGATCAGCTGCGGAGGGTCTTGCTGGCCGCCGCTGATGGAAACGACTCACAAATCCACAACCACGCAGTGCGCAAGGCAGAACCTTCCTATGACTTGTCTTTCATCGATGATACTGTTAAGACCCTCCAAAGGCTAAAAATCTCCCAGGACCGCTAAGTAACAAAGTTTAACCTTTTTCTCTGACTCTCACCTTTAAACCTAGAAGTTTTTGTACAGCATAAATATTACACATTTTATTTTACTTAAAATTGAGGTTTTATTTCTTAAAAGTAGAAAGGAAGGATGGTCCCAGATGTTAGCGATACCTGACTGTCCAGGCACAAAAGCCTGTATTCTCTACGCGATGGGAAATTGATGAACATTGTTGAAAGTATGGTGCAATTAAAAAAAAATGATTGCACCTTCAGGGCAAGACAAAGCGATGTAGGATGTGCAAAGCTACCAAACATCGTCTGTCCATATAATCAAATTTGCACATTTTTTAAAAAGAACATAGGAGATTTCTAGGCTTAAGCGTAACTTGCACAAAAACGTAAAGCCTAAAGGTTTTTCTTAATGTTTTTTCCCCTCCCCTCTCCCCAAGGATTTGCTGTGAGTCTGCAAGTGATCCTGTCGCACCCAAAAGCTGTATTCAAGCGTCGTGGCTCTCAGCCAGGAATGCAAGAATCCGATTTCCTGAAACAGATAACGACAGTGGAGGAACTGGAGCCAAAAGCAAACAACTGCACAAAGGTACTGATTTCCACATGTGGTACAACGCGTCCGTGTCATCCCCGTGGACGAGCGTACTAATGCGGGTGTCGTTCTACAGGTCCTTGTGTGGCACACTCGAACAGAGAAGGTAAATCTAGCTAACGAGCCAAAACACCACCTGGACACCGTCACCATTGAGGTATGACCTGGAGACACAGCTGCACAGGGCGCACAGTGCCACGGACGTGTCCGAAGGTGCTGGCCTTCAGCCAGCCACCGCGGTCTGCTTCCGCGCCAGACCTTTTCATTGTCACCTGACGGCTTCTGCGGGGACAAGAGGAAGCTGCCAGATACCCTAACAGGCAAATCAAGTGGGTGTGCTTTGTTCTGACCTGTCTGCATGCACTTCTGAACTCTCGTCTCAATAAACCGACACTTACCTTTGTTTTAAGGCTGTTTCCACATAGTAAACACAATCAGGAGAAACATGGCTGCAATGGAGTATTTTCAAAGTCATCATTTCTGTATATACTTTTTGTATTTACCCAGCTTAATGGTGTAATTATAAACTGGTTTTAAACCATGAACTGTTGATCTAAATATTTGCATAAATGGGTCCTCCAAGCGGAACGTGTTCTCCTTCACTGAAAGTAGGCTTTGTGAAGAAATAAATAGTGGTCCAATAGGTCACACGATGATGAAATAAAAACCCGCAACCATTTATGGATTTATCCTTTTAATATAGGGAAATAACATTTTATCATTACGAGGCACCATAAAATGTAAACACAATCACTGTCATAAACCTGGGTGTCTCTGCGAGGCAGAGCAGCCTTGCTCACGCCGGGTTACCTGGTGACTCACCGCGCTGCTCGCTCTCGGCACTAACACTGTGCGCGTGCCTCGCGGGCCAGACCGGGGCTTCGCCACGGGACACTCAAATGGGTCCAATGCTTGTTTTTAAAAGAATAAACTACTGATTTGTAGAACTACAGTAACATCCAGGTTTATCTTTCTCTCGATAACCACATTCCCTGTTATGCACACCGTAACAACATCACAGTGAAATGTATGATGAAACAAAATTTGTCTGATACACTAGAAAACATTGCTCAGTGATACATTTACATTCTGTTTATATATGATTAAACATTTGTTCGTACAGTACCTTCTACGGGACCACTGGGTAATTTGGGGGGTTGGGGTTCATATTTTTGGATATTAACTAACGTGATAGCTACATCCCTTATATGCAAACATTTGATCTAGAATTTTGAGGGAAAAAAATCAGTACATGGTTAAGCAGCTTCTTAAACGTATGGTCTATGAAATCATATGCATTGTATGAAACCGCTGCCAAGGACGCAGAAATGAATTCTTGGATCTGCTCTTTACTACATCAAATTTAAACCAATACGGGCCACGGCACGGTCAGTCAGTTAAGATTCTTAATCTGAACAGCCGGGGAAAAAGAAAAAGAGTATGTACATGGGAGGAACAGCGGGAGTAAATGCAGCTGAACGAGGAATGTTGGGCGGCTGTTCTGGGCGAGACGTCTGTGGCTGCTTTCATTTCCACAGTTGTGTGCTGAGAGTCTGGCCAGAGGAGCTTCCAGTCCACCCTGCCGCCGTGCTGGGGGCCTGGCCAAAGCCCATCGCGCTGCTGGGACTGCTGAGGTTCATCCCGGCCATTTGCTGGTTCATCTGTGGAGCAGGCAGAGGAGGCCAGTTAGCACCAGTGCCGAGGCATGCGCGCCGCTAGCCAAAAGGCTGTTGGGCCTCCGACCACAACCCCGTTAAAGTAAAACACTTCCCCAAAACTAGTATTTCTCACTGAATAAAAATACTGACTTGGTGCAGGTTCCTAAGCGTTTTTCAAGACAGCAGCTTTTCGGGAACCACCCAGCCAGGGTTACAGACGGCTGGCTGGCTGCAGCGCTCGCTGCATGCGTCGGGTCCGCACGAACCCCCCCGCTAGTGAGCGTGCAGGGCACGTGACCAGGGAAGCCCGGGTGTCCCCGCTGGTGAGGGCCTGCCTTCAGCCTCCTGCAGCCAACCCACAAGTCTGTGGCAACCGCGATAAACACACACCCACACAAGTAACACAGCCTCGTCATCAGCATTTGCAACTCCAGGTGGTTCTTGTTCCAGCAGTATTTCTTTGGAGACCTCAAAATGTTGAATACACGGGTTTTTACGGAAATTGTCCATTTTGGGTGGCAATCAACCAAGAGTGGGACAGATTTATAAACTTACTATCTAAATCTAATTATCTCTATCTAACCGAGTGAAATCATTCATGTGAAATTAAAGAGACAGCATCTAGCTAAAGGTGGGAAGGAGTTCAAAGTTCCACACGTTCCCTTCAGGGATGGTGCAAAAGTCTTTCTGCTCTCCATGAGTATTGTCTAGTCGCTGTATTTTCCAGTGTGCCATGGAAAAAGGGCACCCTCAGGGCACCCTCCCTTGCCTTCTCAAAAACGAACACTAGCTGACAGGCCAAACCCCAGCTGTACAGACAGGGCAAATGGGTCCCTGCCCATCAGCTTGAGAGCAAGAGCGCATTTGGAGCAATCGGTCATCAGAGACGGTGCACAGGGGTGTTGGACCAGCACCATCCAAGTTAGAGACAGCACTAGGTAACAATCGGAGCTCGTGTGAGCCCGAGCGAACAACACCAGGCTGCAAAATGAAACTGAAACGCTGGTGGAAAAAAAAATTATTAGGTAAACTGCAAACTAGTATTTTGGGGTAAAATTCAGCGCTGTGAAAGGCTTTCGCTGTCTATCTGCAAAACAACCCCTCCCTGCACACGGAAATGAGAAAAGCTGACGCAGAGATGCGCTACCCTGTTGTTAGTCCCGCCTGGAGCAGAGCTCTGAAGGCAGTGACTGTCCGGGAGCAAAGCAAGCTCCCCCCTCTCCACTGGAGCCAGAGATTGGGTCACTGTTCCCCTACAGACTGCGCCACGGCAGCGCCCTGCTAACGCCCGGCGTGCACGGAGCACCCAACGTGCTAACGGCTTGTTCTGCGAGCCAGCTCCTAATGTACGTGTTGGGTGAGAAGCATGACACTAACTTCAAAGCTGATGCGGATCTTTTTAAAGTTAGATCCCCAGAAAAAGACTGTTAGCAGTAACCCACAGATTTTTTATTTGGTTTGACACACTGAAATTCTCACCTTTTAAAAACTTCTTTTCAAAGCAGAAGGGCAGCCTGTATTTTCAACTAGGGGCTGTTTTATCCACGTAAGAAATGCTGCGTACCTGCGTCAGTGTTCGCACCACACCACTGAGCAGAACAGGAAAAATTAATATAACCCAACCTGGTAAGTCACTAAGGTTCACCTCCTGAGTCACTAGAGTAAGCAGCATGGCATTATTATACTCTCCTTACAATTCAGAGATTATGACCAAGAAAAACAGTTGCTCTCATCCATACTGAACGCCAAGGGAATCATTTAGATTTGTGCCCACATCCCCCCATAACCTCTCAAATACCCGATTTCAAGATGTTCCACTGGATAACGTGCAACTACAGCACTAGGGTACACCTACGCTTCTAGAGAACCTTTCAAGACATTTTGAAAAGCAGCACAGAAATGCTACAGATAAATAACAGATCAGCCCAAGCAAATTACCTACGGGAGAATGTTGGGGTGCAAAGCACCGCACGCTCCACTGACACTGTCCCTGAGGTCAGCGTTAACTGTTCACAGCCATCCCCACGCACCCGAAGCCTGCTAGTTCTGAGGCTGTGTTTACATTTCGGTAGGCTGTGGTACAGCCAGCTAAGCGAGCTTTTTACCTGGCTACTTCAGGTGCTGGGACGAGAGCAGCTACAGAAGCAAAGAACCGAGTTTGGTCTACCTTGGCAAAATTTATTCTCTGCTTATGTATCAGTTAGCTTTTACTGACTTAGTCATCAGTTTTCTTTCCCACGTGCCTCTGAGCAGCTGACAGTCCAGCAGCCTGCAACTGGGCTACACCGCAGCTGTCCCGCAGCCCACCACCGCGTGCCTGACCAACAGCACCTCTCCTAAAGCACGCTGGGCTGGGATCGCGAGTCGTTACCTGGGAGAGGTTCCACTGAGCCTGCTGGGTTTGCTGCAATCCGTACTTGTTTTGTGGCGTGACCATCTGTCCCACCATTCCACCTTGAGGTCCAGCGACATTTTGAGGAAGTCCCATCACACCAGTTTGTGCAGTACCAGTAAATCCATTGGGCATTCCCATTCCCACCATCACGCCTGTGCTCTGTCCCATGACTGGCACTGACTGTCCCATCATGTTTCCCATCATCCCAGTTGCTGCAGGCACAGGAACTCCCATGGCTGGAAAGCCTTGAAAGTGAGTCGATGGTTGTGTGGTAAATGGCAGAGAAGACGAGCCCATGAACATACCTGTACCAGAGAAGGGAAGATTTCAGGAAAAGTGATTTGTGTTTTTTCTCCCCCATCCCCATAAGTCAGAAGTGCACCAAAATCATTTTAAAGGGTGACTCTGTCCAGTCATCCGTCACTGCTGGTAATTTAGTTTCTGGTAAGAGTAATAAATTGCTTAAAAGCTCTCAAAGGAAGGGGACTCACCACCAGAGGTTAACTGCCAGAACAAGTCTGGCAAACCCCTGTGGCAGACCAGAATCTTCTAATTGCTGTATTGGAGGTCTTTGTTTTCATTCAAACTGAGCTGAGATCGCGACAGGACAGCTCTGTGCCGATCCTGGCAGCCTGCTGACTGCACAGCGGGCGCTCACACCTTAAGCGATGAGGCAGACGGCAAACGCTGAATTCACAAATCTTTCAGTAAATTGTATACTTGATAATTCCAACAGCTATAAATGAATTAAAATCCCGTAGTATTTTTTTTCTTTACCTTCTGTGTTACATTTCAGTAACTTCCTCATTTTTATAAATGGTAAAACTAAAACTCTTCATTTGAATGGAGGCAGCAGGTACCCAGCCTTCGTTTTACCCTTGCAGGAGATAACTGCTCTAGGTAAAGCTTAAAACGGGGCTGCATCGGAACCTTTGCAACGTGATTCACCTGGAGCACTTTGCTGCTGCATGGTTCCCGTGCCATACAGTGATAAGATGGAGTCTTTGGAGAGCTGTTTCTTTGCCGACTCTTCGGATTTTGTTGTTTGCTCAGTGAATAGATCAAGATCCCCGGATGCTGCAGACAAGCTGGCAGCTGCTGGTTTAGTGGAAGCGCTCTGGGAAATAAAGGTCAAGACAGACAGCTGAACGGAACTGGGAAAGGTGTTCCATTAAATATTTACCGCACGTATATATTATCACATCCTCACTCTTGAACCAAATAAAACCCCGTTCATTGACAGAAATTAACTCCAAGTAAATGAGGATTTACATGAAGGATGTGGTGTGACTAAAGACAAAACAGCAGTACATACGATATGGGAAGATGACCAGACGGAGGTTACAAAACACCCAAAACTAAAACCCCAACCAGCTCCAGGGTGCTCACACACAGACTATTCATTCCTGTTGCTCCTACATTTTTCATCAGGGAGAAGCATAAATCATAAGCTGCAGTTAGATTATGAAAAGTAATTAGGAAATCAATAAGGAGATTACAATTCACATCTCATTAATCCACTCACAGGCAGAATAGATCAGAGAAGAGCTAAAACAAAAGATTAAGTGCTTTGGAATATACTGCTACTGAGATGAACAGTACTTGCGGAGAAAAGGCGTAAGTAAAATTTCCGTTGATCTCCTTAAAGTAATAGCATTTCTAAAATACATTGTTTATAATTGGCGTAGAGTTCTTTACACACATTGCATTTATTGAGAAAGCATAATTACCTAAAACTTACTGTAGTCTACCCCTGAGAAACTAACACACAGGCAGGCTGTCAGGCTTTTTATTGCTCTTGCACCGAAACGTGTTGTCAACAAATTACATCCAGGTGTCTTCCAGTGCTGCCACTTTGCTGCTCATACACATCCAGTTCCATACGGGGCTTGCTTAGGTAACCAGGCAACACGCTGCGTTCTCCTCATACTTCTTAAAATACACAGCTCATCCTGTTACCAGGGGGAACTCTTAATGCAAATCAACTATATCCGCATGGAGAAAGAGCCAGGATTGCATCGCATACCTAAATTATGGCCTTTTTTCAGTCCAGCTAAATGACCCCCAACTGCTCAGCATGCACCTGCCCCATCCCACAGCTCCTTCCCACCCTGAAGGAAAATCCTCCTTACGCCACCACCATGAACAGAGCGGATCTGCAGCCACGACCGTCAGTTTGCCATCATCGCATACCCAAGTTTATCAGACAGCCAAGAAGCCGCCACAGCGTAGGCAGACACAGAAACACACCTCTGTTGTTGCTTAAAGCGACAACCTCCAGGCCGTTCCTGGGTTCGCTGGCAGGCTGCTGCCTAGGCCCTGAGAAGTGTCCACTGTGGTCACACCGGAGTTGTGCAACCACCACAATACAAACATTCAATATGCGGCTTCAGGAAACGCAGCTGACTCCTGAAGGGCTAAAAAGTTCATAAAAAGCTAAAAAGCTCAGTGTTATAAATTGGAGGGAAAAAACCCTCCGCAAAACAGTTCTGGTACCAACTCAGCTGGCCAGAAACCATCAGGAGAAAGGAGTGCAGATTAACATGGCTGAGGGTGAAAAATCTCCAAAACTGCTGTGGAAGAGAAAAAGACCATGGAAACTCAGCGGTACCGGGAAGCCCTGCATTTATACAGCAGCTGATTTGGGCCACGGTCACTGGACCTCAGTAAGCAACAGAAGGGAGGGTGACGGCACTACAAAGGCAAGGCAGAGACAACAAGGCCAGGAACTGTTCAACTCCTGCGACAGCTTCTCTCTGGCCAACGTACACTTGCCAATGTACAACTATCAACATTCTTATGTACATAGTATAAAAGCTACCGCCTCTTGCTCGTTACTGACAAAAGTTTCTGATTGCAAAGCAATATCGAAGTTTGTTAACGGGCTGTAGGAAGCCCTCCCCATTTGAGACAACTCTTTGTCAGTGCGGCATAACCAGTCTTCGAAAATACCAGAATTGGTTAAACATTCATTTAACGTCTCTTCATTCAGTTTGGTTTTGGAAGATTCTGAGAGCAGCCAAAGCACTGAATAAGCACTCCCTGAAGTGTTCATCAGCCAAATAAATGGAAGGTAATGCAGGTGTTAGGGAACATACTGCCAAGCAGTTCCATGATGTTAGCATAACAGAACTTTTCAGAACTACCGCAAGTCATCTCCAATATGCTTCACCTTTAAACATAAATGATTTTTGTCATCGATAGCTTATGTATTACCCGTAAAAGGTAATACTTACCCAAAGGAAGTTTTCACTGTGAAATACTGGTCACAACCACAAATATGGTAGCTGAATCCATCACTTTACACTTGCCATCTGACTCCACGAATAGCATGTGGCTGGCAAGAAGTTTAGATTAATGCACGAGGCTAAAACTAAGTTTTTTCATTTTGTCTTTTAATTCCCAAAAGACTGCATAACAGCAGATAAATATCCTATTTTAAGTTGGTCTGACAGTTGTAGCAGTCCAGATGGCTTTTGTCCATTGCCTGTGGTCCTGTCACTGGGCACCACTGGGAAGAGCCTAGCTCCGTCCTTTTTGCACCCTCCCTTCAGGTATTTATACACATTGACGAGATCGCCCTGAGCCTCCAGGCTGAACAGTGCCAGCTCTCTCAGCCTTGCACCATAGGAGAGATGCTCCAGTCCCTTACTCATCTTCGTGGCCCTTTGCTAGACTCTCTCCAGTATGTCCATGTGTCTGTCATACTGGGGAGGCCAGATCTGGACACAGCACCCCAGGGATCAAGGTGAGGCTGACTGGCCTGCAGTGCCTTGGGCCCTCCTCCTTCTGGTCCTTCCTGAAGATAGGAGTAACATTTGCTTTCCTCCAATCCTCAGGCACCTCCCCCAGTCACCACAATCATTCAAACATTATCAAGAGTGGCTTCATAAAGACATCAGTCAGCTTCCTCCGCACTCATGGGTGCATCATCTATGTCCAGTTTGCTTAAGTGCTCCCTGACCTGATCCTCTTCCAGCAAGGGCATGTCCTCCTTACTCCAGCCTTTCCCCCTGGTCTCTGGAGCCTGGGATTCCTGAATGCTGGTCCTGCTAGTAAAGACTGAGGCAAAGGCAGCATTCAGAAGTACCTCGGCCTTTACATGTCCCGTTGTCACCAGGACGACTGCCCCTTCCAGCAATAGGCCCACATTCTCCCTACTCTTCTTTTTGTCACCTGGATACTTACAAAGTCCTTCTGTTGCCTTTGACATCCCTCGCCAGATTCCACTCCAGTTGGGTTTTGGCTTTTCTAACCTGATCCCTGGCTGCTTGGACAATTTCTCTGTATTCCTCCCAGGCTACCTGTCCTTGCTTCCACTCTCTGTAGGCTTTCTTTTTGTGTTTGAGTTTGTCCAGGAGCTCCCTGTTCATCCATGCAGGCCTCCTGGCATCTTTTGCCTGCTCATTGGGATGGGCCACTCTTGAGCTTGGAGAAGGTGATCCTTGAACACCAATCAGCTTTCTTGGGTCCACTTCCCTCTAGGGCCTTATCCCATGGGACTCTTTCAAGCAGGTCCCTGAAGAGGCCAAAGTTTGTTCTCCTGAAGTCCAGGGTTGTGATCCTGCTTTTTGCCCTGGTCCCTTCTCTCAGGATCCTCAACTCCACCATCTCATGGTCATTGCAGCCAAGGCAGCCTTTGGCCTTCACATCCCCAACGAGCCCTTTCTTGTTTGCAAGTGCGCGAGGTCGAGCAGAGCACCCCTCTTCATTGGCTCCTCTATCACTTGGGTCAGGAAGTTGTCATTGATGCTCTCTTGGATTGCTTATGTCCTGCTGTGCTGTCCCTCCAACAGATATTGGTAGCTGTCTGCAGAAGGCCTCATCTGCTTGTTCTTCCCAGTCAGGCAGCCTACAGCAGACATCCACTACAATTCACTCACACCTGTCTCCTCTGAAGTCTTTACCCATAAGCTCTCAGCTGGTTCATCATCCATTCCCAGGCAGAGCTCCATGCATTCCAGCTGTTCTCTCACATCAAGAAAACTCCACCTGCTTGTCTTCTCAGCCTCTCCTTCCTAAAGAGCCTGTGTCCCTCCATTGCAGGACTCCAGTCATGGAAGCCATCTCACCACGTCTCCGTGATCCCAACAAGATCAGTGCTCTCCTCTTTACGCTCCTTCCCTTCACCAACACGACGGAGGAACACACCACCTGGGCCCCTGTACCCCTCACTAACCACTCCCAGAGATGTGTAGTCAGCTCTTCCCTCCAGATTATCCCTGGCAGTGCCCACATGAAAGAACAGCAAGGGCTAATAGAGGGCTGGACAAGCTTCAGCACTCCCTTCACAACATCCCACATCCAAGCCCCTGGCAGGCAGCAAAATTCTCTAGACAACAGGTCGTGTCAGCAGACGGGTGCCTCTGTCCCCTGCAGCAGGGAGCTGCCCACTACTATCACTCACTGCTTCATCCTGGTGGCCCTGCATGGCTCAGCATCAGTTGCCCCAGGTGCTTCATCTGAATGCACCTCTTCAGCTTTGAGGGGCGTGAACTGGTTCCGTAGTTGCAAGTCTTCAGGTGGAGCTAGAGCCGCTTTCTCAGTGCCAGAAGTGACCAGCTTCCATTCTTTGCCTTCCCCAGAGCTTGCACTTACCCCTGTGCCAGGAGCAGATTCTGCCTCTGTCTCCATTGCAGCTGGGGTCTGGGGCTCCTGAAGCTGCTTCATCTCTGAGATCATGTCTGTCTCTCATACCCTCTGATGCTGCACAGCCTGCTCATTTCCCGACATAACTCCTCCATCTGGTGACACAGCTCTTGAAGACCATCTCTCGTGGCCTCAGGGAGAGGCCCCAGGCACTCCCCGCAGCCTGCGACTCGCAGGGCTGCGCCCATCATCCAAAGCTCTGTCTGGGTCGAAGCCTCTGCCCTGGCAGGGACAGCTGCTCCAACACCTGCAAATCGAAAGAGAGGTGGCAGCAGTGGAACTGAAAGAGGGAAGTGGACGGTGGGACACATGGAGTTGAGTGAAGGACTGCATAAAAGAACATGGCACAGGTGCACCTCCCTGGTACCTGCAGGTCTCTGGCAATGGCTGGTATCTTGTAGATAAGCAGGGATGGGATAGAAAAGCCAGGCCTCCACTGTTTCTCATTTATACGGTGATAAACAATGG